TGTTGTGCCCCTGTGGCGAGATGTTCTGCTTCTGGACTAGCTGGTTGGATCTATTCTCTACACTCTCCCCTGCAGAGGTTGCAGCTGCAGGATTACACCTCAGGCGTGTATGCCAGGCCTGAGCTGTGCCTGGAGGGGCCAAGGTGAAGTTGGAGGAAGAGGAAGCTCTCCGCACAGTCACCGGACCTGGGCTAACTGGGTCTGGGGGCTCCCGGAACTTGGCAGAAAATCCTACTCAGCGGACGGGGTGGGGGAGGCACTACGGAGTGGTGGGGGGCGGACCAAGGGGCTGGGAGAGGGTCCGGCCCACTCTGCGCCTGGGCTGGGACTGGTCCCGCTGGCGCAGGGTAGCAGGAAGCTCTCTGCACACTCACCGGACCTGTGCTAGGACTGGGTCTGGGGACCCCCGGAACTTGGCAGAAAATCCTACTCGGTGGGCGGGGTGGGGAGGCACTGCGGAGTGGTGGGGGGCGGTCCAAGGGGCTGGGAGAGGTTCCGGCCCACTCTGCGACTGGGCTGGGACTGGTCCCACCGGCGCAGGGTAGCAGGAAGCTCTCCGCACACTTACCGGATCTGGGCTAGGACTCCAATGTTTCTTTTGTTCTAAAAGATATTAGTGTCATCTGACAAAGGATCTACAAACTGTGGTACAATATTTCAGGGTAAATCCTGAGGAGATTTGACTGACCTGGCCTGATACAAAAGTCACATTTCTTGTTACATAGGTCTTACTTTATCTTGGTCTTAACCATCCAGCAGAAAAGTATAAAAGCAAGGTATAAAAAGTAAAGCCACATTAATATGCTGAGCTGTAAAAGACTCAAGTCAACAACTTCTGACATTGCCAGTACTGTGGATAACCCACTACTATTATGGACTACTGGACTATATGGGATTTTTTTTTTTGCTGAATTCACACACCTACAGTATTTAAATGGCAATGAAATATCCATCTCTGAAAACACTAAACAAATAAAGGAGATACTAATGAAGGACCATTTTGTATCTGTATATACAAAATAGGATAGATATACAGCTACTTTCTCTTAATTCAATGAGAAGAAAGATTTTTATTAATAGTGTTTGGACAGGATATTATGTATGCATCTGTACTTTGAATAACCACTAAGAAGACAACAATATGCAATGTATTAATTATTGAAACTGTCCTATCAATTGGTTTTGAAACTGTCTCATTGCTATTTGTTTCTCAATAAAATTTATGAATAAAGAAGAAAAGAAATTTAAGAACAAAAAAAAGAAGTCAACCAATAACAAATGCTGTAGGGATGATGGAGGTAAAGGAACACTTCTGCACTAAAGGAGGGTACAACTACTATTGAAATAAATGTAGAGATTCCTCAGAGGCTAGGATTGGAAGTCTCATTCAACCCAGCTATTCCTCTCTGAGGTTATCTTTCCAAAAGAAATGAAAACATCATACGACAGTAATTTACAGGTGCACATGTTTATAGCAGTGCAATGTGTCATAGCTAAATCTTGGAAACAACTCAAATGCTCATCACCTGAAGAATGGATAAAAAAGATGTGGTATTTTCATATAATGGAATATTACTAATGTAAACTTGAAGCTTCCATTGATAAATGGATGAACCTAGAGACCACACTGAGAAATGAAATAAAACAAACACATATGTGCAAACATTGTATTGTCTCACTAGTATAAGAACTTGAAAATGGAAATAAAATCTGAAAGATAAAATGGGGGAAAAGATATTAGTGTCCTATTTAAAAATATTTATTTATTTATTTCATACAGGGTCTTGTCTTCCAGCTCAGACTCCTAGTGATCCTCCTGTCTCAGCCTCCCCAGTGCTAGGATTATAGGTATGCACCACCATGCCAAGTTTCTTAGCTGGTAGGACATAAACAGGGGTTCCAGGCCTGGCACAGCATATGGTACCAGGGATTGAACTTTGGTCTTTGAACTTCCAGACAGGCTTTTAGACCACTGAACTATCTCTCTAGCCTCATAAAGGCTTTTTGTTGTTATTTTGGCTTGATTCAGCTTAGACATTGTAAGTTTACCTTTTTGGGTTGCACAGCATTAAGCAGTAGTGCTTTCAGAGAAATTGGATCCTACATAAGGTCATTATGTCACTACTGTCTCACATCTGAACTGTAGCATGGAGGAGGTTTTTGGGTGGAAACTGAGCAAGGCTGGGCAGCTTCCTGATCCCTCCAACACTTCTGGACCCAGACCCACATGGTTCTATCAGGCTTGCTCAGGACACAAGAACTGAATTGTCCTTTACATAGCTTTAATCATTAGCCAAATATATAAAACACATGACACTGTGATGCACAACCAACACAGAATAGAAAAAAATTGATATTTTTATATAAATGAGATTTCTAGTTGATTCTAAATATAATTTTCTTCTGGGTAAAACTGATCTTCCTTGTGGAATGAGAAAAAAAACCAGGAATATTTAGAGGAAGTTTCTCATTCCTGTGAGATTTTCAAAGGCAAGACCAGAGCTTATTATGTCTCTGCTACAGAGAAATAGACCACAGGATGTTTGTTGATGGATGGCAAAGTGATTCTTCTTGCCCAGCATCTCACCCCCCCAAGTGAGCCTGCAGGGGGAGCCTGGAGTCCAATGCCAGGCCAGGCTGAAAGAGCTGACACTGCAGAGTGGTTCCCCAGGAGGTGATGCTGACCTTTGGGGGGATGCTTGGCTGGAGTAGAACTCAGCCAGCCCTGCCCAGGTAGGTCGGGAGAGAGTTCCAAGTCTGGCTGGAACAATTGATAGAGTGAATATGCACAGACTTGGGAACTGTGTCCAGAAAGGAGTAGAAGGGGGTAAAATTCTTGGAACTGGAGGGAAGGGGCTGATGGCCAGCCTCACTGTGGTGGAGACAAGAGCTGGTGTAGAAAGCCCATGCTGTGAGAAAGAAGGTGGACTGAACTCAGTGGTAGCCCATGAGAGGACAGAAAATGGGAACTGGGTGTGTAAAGGGCACTTGAGCCTTCTAAGCAGCAGATAGCACTGAATCAGGGAGAAAGCTGCCCCACTGGAGAGAAGCCCAGGGACCATGAGGCTGATCTCTGGCCTCCTGGGTTCCTGGAGTTTCCCCTTTTTCCACTGATACCTTCTCTGCCGAATTGTTGGGGCCTGATGAAGTTTTTTGGCTTAGAGATGGTAAGAAGTTCTGAAAGCCCAGTGATTTCATGTTTGGAGTGTTAAGCAAGGAAAGACATGGGACCACGTGTAAGAGGACAGCTTCAAATGCTGCAGATACTTCACAACACAGGGAACAGGACCACACAGGAGAGCTGAGCAGTGAAACAGATTGTGCTTGAGCAGTCATTGACCTCTGATGCTTCATTCCATTGCATGAAATGGAATAAGGGAAGAAAAGTGGAAGGGAGAAAACAGCCACAACCAGGATGGAAGTGGGTGCAGCTTTGTGCTCAGTGGAGCTTGGTGAACACACAGGACTTCAGTCAGTTTCACTCTTGAGAATCATTTAGCATCACAGTGCAATTTCCATTCTCTGTGCTAAAGAGATTCTTTGTTTTGCTTAGAAAAGCTGGTGGGGTACAGATGAGGCCTATTTTATGCCTGTTGTTACATGTGGCCCATGTGTTCCTTATTCAGGGCAGAACAGGAAGCCCTTTCCAAAGCCTTCTGGGGGATGTCTATTATTTCATCCGTAGGAGAAAATACTTTGGATCATTTTGTGACACATGAGGGGACCCCTAGAGTCTGTCTTCAGATACTGAAGAAAATCTGAGGTGGCCTTCTTCTGACTATGTGCTGGAAAACCCACATCAGATGACCTCTGTGAAGAGCTGTGAGCAGGGATGAGTCAGGGTGGGTCAGTCAGTCTCCTGTGACTAAGGGTTATAGCCTCACCCCAACCTGACTTTGCAATTTTAACTTACCTGAAACTTCCTGTGCAGTCCTTAGATTTACTCTTGTGATAACAACATACTCAGTAGCCCAACATTTCCCCCAACTTCTACACCTATCCACCAGGGCATGGAGTACAGTGAATGGCTTGAGAACTTCACCTTCCAAGCCCTGGCTTTAGCCCTGGGGAGTTGGACAATATCACTCCCCACTAAGTTCCTCCTCCCCTGGGTTATTGTATATAGACAGTGAAATCCTCACCTTGAAACTGGTCTTAGTGTTCCTTGGGACTCCCATAGAAATCTCAGTGACATCAGAATCCACACTCATGTATGAACTGCATTTCAGTTCCTCTTGCACTCTCAGAGTCCCTTCTGAAGTGTGGTTACCTTTGGGCCATAAGGGTCATTCTTTCCTAGCATGTCATGAGGCATGTGTCCCTTTGGTTTACCTGGGTCATGTCCTCATGCCTGAGGGGCTGCATAGTTTTATTCAGCTTGGCCTTTTTCCACAGCTGATGGGGAAAAGAGAGAAAAGGCAAGAGAGTCAGATCAGCCTATGGTGCATATACCTGTATGCCTGTATACCTTCTCGGCCTGGACATTTTCATGACCATGCTTGCAGGGAGAGATCATGTTTCCTGGGAAAGGCATGACCCTGCATAAGAATTACAAGAGCAACAGGAAAGTATGTCTGACTTGCAGCAACATGATGACATTTCTATGTCCTATGTACTTTTGGAGTGTCAAGTGATAATGTTGATAGAACTTGCAAGCAGAAATAAAAGTAAGGTGTTTCCTTTTCATAGATTTCCAACATAGGCCCAGGTCTTATGGACCAATCTAGAATGTAGTGTAAATAAATTTAGAAAATTGTTACCACTTCCAGTTTGGCTGTGCTTTGTCATTATGTACACTGTTGATCCCTAAGATCTGGCAGTAAGTTAGTACTCAGGGAGTACTTGCTTACTGATCGATGCAAATCAGTATGTTTTCCTGTAATTCTGGAGAGAGGAGGGCCTTGTAAGACAGAAGATTGGTATAGCTTATGTGAGCCCAGAAGTCTTACCTTTGAAGCCAGCACTTATCAGGAAGGATAGGCAGAAATGGGGCCATAGAAAGCCCTGGAAGTATATTGGAGGGCACTGGGGTAAGGGGTCCCATCAAAGTGAGAGGTGGGGCCATGGGTTCTGATCCCAACACCCTTACCATCCATGGACCTTGCATGGGGCTACACAAGGTTCTGGATATCCTGGAAGGGGGATTTGAGGAAGGAAGGAGCAACATCATATCCTTGTGGCCTCGTGAGGTCAGAAGTTGGTGTATAGTGACAACTGTGAGAGGAGATAAAATAGAATTGTCAGCCAGTTGGTTATAAGCTTCAGTTTGTCTTGGTCTTAGAAGAGAAAGAGGAAGGAAATAAATTGCTGGTGAGAATGAAGAGTCACTGAGGATACTCCACAGTTGCTTTCTATATAAGAGTGGGAGATCAATGTCCTGTTGAGAAAGATGATGGGACTGAGGGGTGACCTTAGTGATGCCTAACAGGGTTGCAGCACCCATGAGATTATGCCCCTTCCTCTCTGCCTTGTGACACATGAAGAAGTGCCGGGTTCACTCTGAGACCCAGGATAAGTGCTGTGCACGTTTTCTTTGGATGGTGCTTAGCTACTACTATATTTGTAAAAAGGGAGGCTGTGGGGATACTAATGCAGGTTAGAATGAACTTGTTAATAGATTTTAGTGGGGATTTTGAAGGTATGAAGGGGAACAGGAAGAAAGCAGCATAATTGTCCCACTGGCCTTCTTAGCAGGAGTTGGTCCCATTGAATGAAAGATATTGAATAAACAAGCAACCAGCCTTTTTACTGACATGAGACATTTATTTAGTTGCTGGTGTCTGCCATAGAGCAATTCTAGGTTGAAGTCCAGGAAACACTGCTGCTCAGAGAAGGGGCTTCAATTGCTTCCTGAACTAAGTATTGTTTCATGGTTTTCTCTATCCAGGCTAGATAAGGTGAGACTTTGGTGTAGACACGTGGATTTGCCGGATGTTTTTTATCTCCATATGCGTGGCCATAGGATACAATTGCCTGAACCACATTATTACATATAAAGGGGCCTCCTGAGTCACCCTGTAAATAGAGAGTGAGGCCATGAGAAAGTGCACCTCTGGACCTTTCCCTTCTGATATCCTAAACCTCTTTTGAAGTACTACTTATATTCTGCTGGTGAGAGATGAGGGGGAAGGTCAGACCCTGGGGCCATTAGCTGCCTGCTCTGACTTTGGACCATGTTATAACTTTACCTCACTATCTGTCAGCTTTTGTCCTGGCTGACAGACAGGACATTGGTCGCGGTCTTGGGTCCTTATCCTTGTAGAATCCTGTGTTGCCATTGGTTTCAGGTTATTTTTTAAGAATATGGAGACAGATGAGTGGGTCAGAAAGAGAGCAGGGACAATGAGTCCATTTTTCCAAGACGGTCAGGAGGCTCTGGGGGGCCAATTTGCTATTATTACTGCACACTTAGTGAATGGTTTCTAAAGTCTGGGATGTGAACTCACAGAGTGTATTGCAAATTCCTGCTTTCAAAGGTGCACTTACCCTGAGTTCCCTTTAGTGAAGTGATAAAAACCTGCTACCTCCCACCACCTCAGGCTAGTCCTTTTTCTTTTTCTCTTTCTTTCTTTCTTTCTTTCTTTCTTTCTTTCTTTCTTTCTTTCTTTCTTTCTTTCTTTCTTTCTTTCTTTCTTTCTTTC